TATTTTGTATTTAATTGCAAAAAATTTATGATTATTGTATTAATAATTTTCTAAAATTTGTTAAATATGTTATATGCTATATTAATATATTCGGTTACTATTGTTATATTTTAAGCATAATTGTATTTTTATGTTCTTTAAAAGTCTCTTTCTTTGTAGCTAAAAATATTAGGTTAGTATATTTAGTTTTTATAATTTGCTAGTAATTTTATTATTAGTGTTTTATATTTATTTGTATAAAATTTTATTATTATTCTATTAAAGTTGTTTATCAAGCTATATTTATATTATTAAATTTGTTAAAATATTATATTATTATTATTATTATGTTATGGTTATTGGCCTTATATTTAATGCATAATTAAAATTTGTGTCTTCACTGGTCCTTTTTTTTTATACAAATCTTACGTTATTAGCCTATTTATTTTTTGTCTTCTAACACTGTTTTATATTATGCGTATAAGATTTTTGTAATATTGTATTAATTATTCTATTAAAGTTGTTAAATATATTATATTTATATTATAAAATTTGTTAAAAAAAATTATTATTATTATGAATATGTTATGGTTATTGGCCTTATATTTTTTGCATAATAAAATTTTCATGGTTCTTAAAATCGTAGGTTAGCCAATTTCTTTTTTATAATTTTCTACTATGTATTATTATTACTGTTTTATATTCAATTGCATAAAATTTTATTATTATTTTATTAATTAATTTATAAAATTCGTTAAATATGCTATATATTGTTATAACATTAAACTTGCATAACACAGGTTCATGGCACGTGAGGTGATTAATCCGGGTCCCAAAGATTACAGTGTGTTGAGAATTGATGTCCAAGAAACGCATGTGTCCCAAGTTGTACGGAACTCGGGATTGAAGAGAGTTCTCAAAGTTCGTAGAGCAACACATGGGAAGGAGTCAGATCCGCATGATCCGAATAACATTCCGGAGCCAGTGGTAGAGCACCTTAGGCGTGCAGGCTTTTATCATGTCGCACACATGCGTCATATGCCGGTTAGTTATTTAAAAGTGACATGAATTATGTGCTTGTACTTATTAGCAAATAATGACTACTTTTATCCTTGTATAATGTCTTGCAGATCGATCATTCACTCATTAGTGCTCTGGTCGAGCGTTGGCGCCCAGAAACACATATGTTTCATATGCCGCAGGGTGGAGTGACCATTACTCTTCAAGATGTGAATGCTATTCTTGGATTGTCATCAGACGGGGAACCACTAATTGGACCGACTTCCGCAAATTGGAGTACTGTTGTACATCAAATGCTAGGACACGAACCAGCGCCGCATGAGATTGAGGGAAGCTATTTGCGAATGTCCTTCATAGATCGATACTACGAACATTGGGTGCAGCACCAAGGCATGCCTGATACCGAACTCCTCTATTCACGGGCTTATATATTACGCCTCATTGGTGGATTTCTGTTTAGTGACAAGTCAGGGAATAAGGTTGCCCTACGATTTTTGCCATTTCTAGATGGGGATTTTTCGGGTATGACCACGTACAGTTGGGGGGCAGCAATGTTAGCACTCCTCTACAGGGAATTGTGCATGGCGACAAACCCAGCCCAAAATATTATGTCTGGTTGCCTGACCTTGCTGCAGATATGGGCATGGTCCAGATTCCCGCCCCATTGCACCGTTTATACCACCTAAAGCCGATCCAAATGATCATTACGGAAGGTATGATGATATTTGCGTATTGTACATGAAATACTTGTCGTTAGGGTGTAAGACTTGGAGCCAAAGACAAATGATTTTTCTTATTAATTGGGTTTGTTTCCTTCAGATTTAACAATTTTGGAAGGCGGATACGGCCAAAGGATTTGATGCACTATAGATCGACACTTGACACTATGAGCAGAACCGATGTAGGAGTTTGTACATGGCTTTAGGTGTTTATCGGTTACATTATTTTACCGCTATATAATTAACATTGGTTGTTATCTCGCAGATCATTTGGCAGCCGTATACTCATTATCACTTTCTTGGTGCAACTTTGGAGAGTCAGATGATGTGGAGATCTGTTACCCCACTTATTAGTTTCCATATTGTGGAACCTCATCAGCCAGATAGGGTAATGCGTCAGTTTGGTTTAGAACCCTGCATCCCAGTAGCACCAGCTAGGCTTGGAGGCATTCATGATGTTACGTTACGCGGGAAACAGACTGAGAATTGGTTGGTTAAGTTGCAACCATTTATAGCCAAATGGGAGACCCGAAACACAAGGGTTGTTGTTGGCCAGTCTGGAGGCAGCGAATACATATCTCCTAATCATGAATACATGAAATGTTATCGGCCTCGTACAAGGCGATACATGACGTATAAGGCTGCCCGGACCGGGCATATGGTGAGTTGTATTAATTTAAATAAACCCTTCATTAAAGTAATATTTTTATGATTTTCATCTTTGCAATGTGTAGGTTGATGCAACGGAGATGGCATGGTGGATGGAAGACGAGGATGACCCAGCGACAAAAACTGACATCCAGGAGGTGCTCGGCAGACTGCTTAATATGTTGCTCGAGTATGGTAGGGTCAACGAGCCTGGCCCAGTGGCAGCCAATGTTCCATTACCTGAGGAAGCAGATACAAGTATTCACAACGGTATACCTCATCGTCGCGAACACATCCCTCCAGAGACATACAGTCTTAATCCCCCGGGACCACGAATGCCTGGGACTTACAAACTACCTAGATATCCCACAAGTGCATCAATTCCTTTTGACTATCTTCCACAAGCTAGGCCACAACCACAACCACAACCATATGAACCATTCTCCTTTCAGCCATTTGGATATCCACAACATGCGTCAGCCACACAGGAATGGGGTTATCCACCACCGACCCATGACATCTCGACCGAGCCACTATATTGGCCAACTCCTATGAACATGTCAGGCGGTGCATCTTCTAGCAGTCAACAGCAGATAATTAGTTCCATATTTGGGGAGTCTATTGATCCATATGCCCATTTAAGCAGTCATAATGATCAACCAGAACAACACACCCCGGATATACGTATTAGGTCATTTGTTAGGGATGAAACCGATCCATCTGATGACTTCTTTGCAGCGGCGTCACAAGAATTTGACTTCACATCCCAAATGGATGCAGAAGCGTCATTACCCCTGGCACGTCGGCTACCTCACAGGGATGCGAGGACGAGACAATGGCCTCCCAGATCATAGATATTTTATATTCTTGGTTATTGTTATGAATGCACTATATGTATGTAGTTTCATTGTATTTGAATGTGGTGATGTATTATGGACAATATCTTTTTTTAGTTATTTTTTTGGTGGTTTATATTCGTTATTTCGTACAACACAGTAGCAACCATTATATATCAGGGTTCGACAATACATACATTTTATTAGCAAATCTCGGGGAACGTTAACAGACTGATAATATAAGCATAATAATGTGGACCTTATCTATGACCGTTCATTGGATATTTACACGTGCAGGACATGATCGTCTATTGTGCCCAATCCTTCCACAAACACCGCACTTAGTACGACTTGAACTGGATTCTACTTGATCCATCTCGTTATGAATTCGAGACCTCTTAGGACATCCCTTTGCCCGCACCCGTTGTGGATTAGGCATGAGTATCGGTCCAGTATACGGTGGGATCGCTTCCTTATTGCCGATGGGATACAAGGTGATGCATACACCTTATTAATATTGAGGATTGAGTAGCATGGGTCCACAAAATTCTCATGAGTCATACCCATCTTCAAACAAACCGCCCTGACATGGCTGCATGGATATTTAAACACTTGAAATTTTCCACACTGGCACTTTCTTTCATTCAAGTACAAAGACAACGAGTAGCCCCCCTTCTGTGTTATTGGGTTATATGGTTCTTCCACTTCAAATAAGGTAGATTCTCTATTAAAGGCATGAACGATGTGTGATGAGGCAGCGACTGCTTCTCTCTCCATTCTAAGGTGGGCGTTATGACAAAACTTAATACCGGCAGCAACATCAAGACTAGCTTCGTGACCTCTCTGTACAAAGTAATGCACAAGCTTACTGTAAGTGTGCTTCACCAAAGCTGTGATTGGCATCCCACGAGCTCCCTTAAAAATGCTATTTACGCATTCAGATAAATTTGTTGTCATGTGACCATAACGCCTTCCATCCACATCATATGCACGACTCCATTTTTCCTTCGGGATGCCATCAATCCACGCCGCTACCTCTGGACTATTGCTCCGAAATTCCTCGAACTTAACATCAAAATTTACCTTGGATGGAGTATAACCTGCATTTAACAACCAATTATAGCATTAATTTGTCGTATTCATACAATATATACGGAGTAGTAAAGCTTATCATGTCACCTAGATTCATCAATTGTTGTTTCCACTCCTCATTTTTGAATCTTTGGTTGAAGTTACTTCCAACATGTCTCAGGAAAAAGACATGATACGCTTTTGGAGGCTGCCAATCAAGATATGGGTTTGCAACTGCCGATAATATGCCTTGATGTCGATATGATATTAAGCATATACCTATTTTTTGAGTGACATACAAACGTATACAGGACAAAAAGTATTCCCATGACTCCTTTGTTTCACCTTCTACAATTGCAAAAGCCAATGGTAATACCTCTTCGTTTACATCCTGCGTTGTGGCAATCAGCAATGTACCTTTATACTTCCCATATAAATGAGTGTCATCAACTTGTATAACTGGTTTGCAGAAGTTGAACGCATCACAACATTGCTTAAAAGTCCAGAACATTCTATGGAATACCCTGTAACCATTGACAACACGACGATTTACCACGTAGTCATTTGTTTGAATGTGGTAAACAGAACCCTCAGAAAATGTCAGCATGTAATTAAACCATTTGGGCAAATAAGCATAAGACTGGTCCCAATCTCCGTAGATTTTTGCCATGGCTTTTTGTTTAGCCTTCCATGCCTTCCTGTATGAAATAGTAAATCCATAATTGTTTCAGATTCTTTCTTGTATCAAACTGATTGATACATGAGGTTCTTCCTTCACCATTTTTGCTAAAAGAATATACATTATCGGTTACATTACTAAATTGTTGAAGTGGATATAAAAATAGAGACAATACACATTTCATTGGAAATAAACACTCACCTAATATAGTCAAAGCAATGAAGGCGGAATCAAGTTGTCTGTGATCTTGGGACAGATTGCAAGTGACACAATTATGAGGTCCCTCCCATCTACTCACAACCCACATTATTCCATTTTTTGGTTTCATTGCCCTCATTCGCCATGGACAACCCGCTTCATGACACTTGCATCTCAATACTAGCTTCCTAGTCGTGCTCTCAACAATAGTTGCTTCCTTATTAATTTTCATAAAGTATGACTTGACCGCCATCTGCACTGATTCCTTAGATTCAAATTCTTGTTTAACAAATAACTCATCCCCAATGGTCCATGCACCATGATACTCTCTCTCGTTGTATTCTCGATCTTCATTCGGATACTCATAATTAATATATGAGTAATGTGGTATGCCATTCCAAAACGGAGTGACATTAGGGTTTACATTGGGAGTTACATTGTCACCTACATAACATACAAACACCTCAATCGTTAGTTGAACTAGAAAAAAGATTGTAATATTTTTGGGCTAAATAACTTGTTAACTAACCTTCAACCACATTATGACACTGCCCTTGGATACCCGTTGATGTTCCAACATTGACGTTGTTTTGAAAGCCTATCGGCACATCAGATCCATTACCTTCGTCGTCATCTTAGCTACCTGATTCATCGTCATTACTGTCGGCTGCCAGGCACGCATCCTCATCTTCTTCTTCTTCGTCATCGTCCTCGTCATTACGGTCATATATTGGAATGTCTTCATCATCAAATATCATATTGTTGGGCGCTACTGCAAGTACAGATGGTGATGCATTCCTGTTTATGTCATCAGTGCCTGGTGCTATATTCAGATCAAGCGACCGAATCGGTATTGCCAAATCATCGGTATTTTCAACTTCTACATATATCTCCACAAACTTTCTAGCATTGGTATGATCAGCACTCGTGTCAGCTTGTTCAACAAATATGTCTAATATAATATCAACATCATCATCATCCGTAATTGATATTGCTGTGTATTCATGATTGCCAGCAAGAGCTCTTACGGTGACTTCAGAAATACGTTGATTCCCTTGGAACCCCAATTTCTGATGAATGTTTGCTTTCAGCTGCTCAAAGGTAGTACCGCGTGTAATACGCATTGGTCGTTTTTCACCTTCAAATGTTACACCACGACGACCTATAACCTTTCTACCATTATAGTATATAAGTACACAAATTGTTTGTAAATTTGAACTCATTTTTCTTGCAAAATGTTAAACAAAATATATAACTACAAAAAATTTAATATGTAAAATAATTTTCATACAGAATAAATACTACATAAAATAAATACTAAATGAAATACAAGCACCAAATTTTAATGTAAAATAAATACTAAATAAAATAAAGCATACATGAAATAATAAATGAAAAGTATGACTAACTATCACTATAATATATATGATGATATTAACAAATTAATTTTTTTCATAATGCAACAACACCTCAACTTAAAACATGAAAATATGGAACAAACCCGGACAACACAATGTTGAAGGATCAAATTTTAATGTAATATATACTAAATAAAATAAAGCATACATGAAATAATAAATGAAAAGTATGACTAACTATCACTATAAGTATGACTAACTATCACTATAATATCATATTAACAAATTAATTTTTTCGAGAATGCAACAACACCTCAACTTAAAACATGAAAATATAGAACAAACCCGGACAACACAATGTTGAACACCGAGTGAAATGCTTCTGCAAATTGGTATGAAAATGGGACTGGAGGGGTGGATATATAGTACTTGACGCGGTTGGAGGTCAGCCATTTTCCAGACTTAGCTTCCAGTGCCGCGTTGCATGGACAACTATCATTGGTTGGTGGATCGCGTTTCAACCAGGGCCGTGTAATTTTTGAAGTGACTGACTGGAACGTGTTTTACTGTCTACCGCGTTTCAACCAGGGCCGTGCAATTTTTGAAGTGACGGACTGGAACGTGTCTTACTATGTGCCACGTCTTGTTCTTTCTGACAGGTGATGATGGCACAACCGCATCTTCTGCAATTTATTTTGCAAGGGACGCGGCTCTTATGGTATCATGTCTCTGCAATCTGGACTGAACGCGGCATGCAGCATGTCACGTCTCAAAACGATTGTCTTCCAGCCGCGTCGTAATGCACTATTTTGGCAATACATTTCACCTCGAAACCATTCTGGTTAATCATTTTAAAACTCACATCACCACGGTCAAAAGGCCTAATAAATATTATAACTTTATATTTCCGCAAGTACATCAGAGTACACTATTCTTCTCTGGTGTACTTTTGGCCGAGAGTACATTGTTGACCGCACCAATCCTTAGGTGTAGTCATTGTACATCCACTAAACTCATATCAGATAAAACAGTTCATGAAAAAGGCAAATAAATAAATAAAAACTATGCTTACTAAACTAAGAGATGTTGGTTTTTAAATTCTTCCTCTTCAAATTTTCAGCTTCATTTCTCCTTTTCACAACCTCCAATTTAAAGAGAATTTGCTATTTCTTTTTTTAGCATAAGATAGCTTCTTTCTTTTCTCAGCACATTTTTTTTTTTTGATAACATCTCAGCACATTTTTAACAAATGAATCACAAATTCACCTCCTAAATATCTTGCCTTAGATGATTCAACGTGTGTCCATTAAAAGGTCCACACGTATAAATATTTTCATTCTTTCAAATTTGTATCTATAAATCTTCTAACTATTATATACATCAACGGGTAAGGTGTATATAAAAATTAAAATATATCAAATTTTTTGATTTTTAATGCAAAATCTCAATATAGTTGAATATGTATAATAGGGTAAGTACGAATTAGTTCATCTATATATTCCAAACAATTAGGAACCAATTGAAGTTATCAAAATATGTGAGACCGTCAAGGCCAAAAGAAGAATATATAATCACATGGTTAAGTGGAATCTTGACTACTCTACATATTATTGGCAAATATTCTTTCTACTATAGCCCAGTGCTTTCTACTGGATACCCTTTAATTTGTTTCTTTTATGTGCCCTTGATATTCTTCTATCATTTTTGTTAGTTACTTTTCAATATTTGTTTTATTCGTACTGTTCGTGAAAAACCATACAATTATTTCTCTGTTATTCAAATTTTGAGAATTTATTTAACTAATGGAAATACATATCGAGCCTAGTAATTGATGCCATTGGTCCACAGAGAAAATACATAAAATAAATGACCAAAGTTCCCCCTTTGAAAATCCATTTTATTTTATTTTATGGAAAATGAGGATATGATTATTTTATTTTATTTTTCCATTATCATATTCACTAAATGCTCTTTTTGTACTAAAATATGAGCCGTGCATGAACTTTGCATACACATGCAGGCGTTATGATTTAATTAGAGTGTGTATGACAACTATTCTATTCTTTAGCATTGTTTCTGAAAAGAAACAATTCTTTTTTATTACTATGTCTTGGAACAGTTTCTGAGAAAAAAATATATTAATAACATGTTATATTTTTATTTCGACAATGAGAATTGTGTTTGATAACATAACAAATAATAAAATAAAAAATAATTCCTATTAAACATAAACTTTTTTTGGATCATTATTTTTCTTTCTATATGTGGTGGCGGCGGTGGTGGCGTGGAGGCGGTAATGGTAGTGGTGATGGTAATGGTGATGATGGTGGTGACGACAGTGACTACGGTGATGGTGGTGGTGGTGGTAATGGTGACGATAGTGATAGCAGTGGCTGCGACGATGGTTATGGTGGCGGTGGCGATGACATGGTGATGGTGGTGACGACAGTGGATGCGACAATGATGGTGGTGGTGGCAGCGTAGTGATGGTGATGACATGGTGGTGATGGTGACGGTAGTGGCTGCGTCGATAGTAATGGTGGTTGGTGACGGTGGTGGTGGAGTGGTGGCGATGGCTACGATGATGGGGGTGGTGGTTGGTAGCGGTGGCGATGATTATGATGGTGGTGGTGGTGGTAGTGAAGGTGGCATGGTGGTAGTGATGGATAGAGGTGTGGTGATGGTGGCAGTGGCGTCATGGTAGTGGTAGTGGTGGTGACGACGGCACTGGTGGTACGACGGCGGCGACGATGGTGGCGGTAGTCATGTCGGAATGATGGTGGTGGTGGTGATGATTGTAGAAGTGAAGGGTGATTGAGAGAGGTAAGTGTTTCTCATTTTGTACTCAGTAACAAAAAAGTAAAAAAAAAATTATTCTTTTTTTGTTTCCCGACACAAAAATTAAACTAGTTCATCGCAGAAAAAAAAAATAAACCAATTTTACGGAACGAAATTTTCTATTTCCTGTTTCAGCAAACATAAATTAAAAAAAAATAGAAAGATTGGCACAAGGTCCTTGTTTTATTTCCATCACAAAAATATTATATAGTACTATAAATTAATGAATTTTCTGTTACCCATAGGCCACAACTTCCAAGCCAGATTGCCTTCTTATCATAGTGGAGAAATTCTTGTGGTGGGGTATATGCAAAAAAGCTTAGTAATTAGCAAATGACTGGTGCAGTTCCACTAAGCAAAGTAGTTATGCCTTTACTATTAACATTTTATTTTTTTTAATCTTTAAAGCAAACTTGATGTAATCTACCTTCCCTGTGATAGCTGACATGCTGATGAGATATGAGCTTGATATCGCATTTGAAGCTGAGAGAAATATTTATTGAAGTTCAGCTCACTGAAATCGCTTACAGTGATAAAAAAAAAGGGAGAAAAAGTAAGAAATAAAGGAGAAACCTGCTTACTTTTAGAAAATCTTTTATCTTCTTTATGGAAAGCATTTTTTGGATGTCGTTTACGAAGCACATTAACACCTTTGCAATGTGAGGTGGAAAGGGACAACTTCTAGCGAATCAATGGGTTGGGTATGATCAACAAGACAAATAATACTACTTTGATTTGATTATCAAATATGAGGTGTAAGGTGCATGTGTATCACTTTAGTTAAACAACTTAATTAGGTACTTTCCTTTCATAACCTAATTTGATAAGGTCCTCTATAATATTTGACCATATAATTATGACCATATAGCTATATTTGACCATATAACCGAAGAAATAAATTTTGTTTTTTATTCATTTCCAAGTGATTGTCATTGTTAGTGGTGGTGGATATAATTTAATTTATTTATGAACAATAAATGGCATATCATCGAGAAAATATTATTGCTTATGTAATTCTTATAATACTAAAAAAGGTTTTGCTTGCTTAAAATAAGAGGTGTTATTTAGAAGAAAAAAAGAAAAATTATAATTATTAATTAAAAAAATATAGGAATAAATTATGATGAAATATATGTATATTTAGAATCATATTCTTAAAAAAAAAAATTGTTCAAAACCTGTGTGTGAGACGGATCGGATGGCTGTAGGGCATTTAAGGGATCTTTAAGAAGGACCCCCATACCATTTGTTTTCCGAAATCATTTTTTTTATGGTATAAATCATGGTTGTGGAATAAATATCTTCACTTGTTCATGTTAGTCAAAGACCACTATGAACTAGGTACTTTCTTCTTTATTACTCTTTCCTTTTGATTTTTAATGCACTGCTGAGTTTTCTCTTTTATTGGAAATGTAACAGCCTTAGCAAATTAAACCAAGTAGGGAAAAAAAATATTATAGAATCCTAGTTTCAGTAGTTTTCTTTTGTCAATGCGGTTTTCATGACTTGTTTGCATGAATGAAAATAACAATATTAATAGTTAGTGAGTTTGTCAAATATTCATTCCATTTGGGGTCTATCGTGGACTAATCAATATTGGTGGTTGCAGATTCTATCAAGCCAGCGAGTTATAGATTGGCTTTCTTTTCTCAGCTTTATTTGTATTGGGTTCGGTTCCAAATTTCAACTTACCTAACTTGAAAGTTGTCGTTTTCAGCACAAGCTAGTACTGTCAAGTGGATTAAACACTACACTGCAGAAAAATGAATATTGAATAATTGATCTTTAGAGTTAATGGAATCAAACTAAATCGGAATTTAGAGACTGCTGCCAATTGTCTGGTTTCACTTCTGCCTTATGATAGAAGTTCATTTATCAGATCAAGTTTTGCTTATAAGTGGCATAAAATATATGTATTCTTCCATTATTATTATATTATTATGTAGAAAATTTTCATTTCATTTGGATGATAACAGAGCATAAACTATGAACAAACTTGTCAATATTGCTATTTCTGATGTGGTGGCTTTATTCAATTTCCAGCAATAAAACCAGCTTCGAGTTTTTCAATCACTTACATTTTATATAGGGCAACAAGTCTTAATTTCCCCCCATTTTTTCTCTTTTTCGTCGACATTATTTTGTTTAATTCTCCAATTTGAGATATGATTTTTGCTGTTTACAAGATTTCTAGTATATGAGCTCTTCATCAACTCAACTAGTCATTACGAAAAGGATGGGCATATATGAGCCATTCCATCATGTTAGCATGTGGGGAGATAGCTTCAAAGTTGATGGCAGCCTGAATTCAATTGCTTCCCCAATGTTAATGGTGAACACTAGCATGGAGAACAAGGTCAGAACGCATGAATGTATTCCTCATGAATCAAGGGAAACTTCAGGAGATGATGATCAAGAGACTAATGACAAAGTTGTTAGTAAGGTGATGATATTTTCCCATTATATGTTTCTTTTATGAATTCCTATTGAATTTTTTTCTTATTATCTTTCTTATGTTTCATTTTAATTATTGTAACATAGTATTAAGGAGTTAGATAAGTGACCATATGTCCAGAATACTTGAAATAAAAGGAAATGTATAACTTGTAAGGGTATATAATGGTTTCTTTCTCACATTCATACGTTGCAAAGAAACAAAAATTAATACTTTTGAAGATCTGACTCCGAAATCAAATATTTTGAATCGTTGACATCATAGTTGATCATCAATATGTATGTGTAGGTGCTAAGACGTCTAGCTCAAAATCGTGAGGCTGCTCGGAAATGTCGGATGCGGAAGAAGGTTGTAAAAACTGAATTGATTGCAAGTTAGCCAATGTTTATGATCATCTGATTTGTACTTTTGTGATTCATAGGCTTATGTTCAACAATTAGAAACAAGTCGTTTGAAGCTCATGCAAGTGGAGCTGGAGATTGAGAAAGCAAGAAAACAGGTGATCCCAACTCAAAAAATCATCATCCTTATCTCTGCCTTTTATTTTGATGTATATTCCTCCATCTGTCAAGTTTAAGCATATCTAAAATGTCTACTTGCAGAGTCTATACCTAGGCAGTGCATTAGATGTCAGTTATATGGGATCTTCTGGAACCATAAACTCAGGTTTGTGATTCATCATTTCAATTTTCAGCTGCCTCAAAATGTTGTTTTTTTCTTAGTTATTATATATCACTTTCTTCTTGTTTTTTTAGATGCACTTGAAGAAATTGAACTACGGTTTCTGTCCTCAAAATTCATATATCTCTTGTTTCATGCAATGACTTTCTCTCCAGCATTTATGGGGTTATTCCTATTTCCTAATATGCCTCTACAGTTCATGTTGCTGTGTGAAATATAGATTTTCCTTAGCAGACAACAGGTCTAAATGAATTTAATAGAAAGGCATTAGTCAGTCAATGAATTTTTTTATCTATTTTACTGCAAGTCAAGTTTGCTTAGCTAATCTTCTCAATCTCCGGTCCGGTGGAAGATGTTTTTTTTTTTTTTTTTTGGAAATATTCCAATCGGTTCATTGTTTCGCAACTAATTCGATTCGGGACCGATAAAAGATGTTTATTGCTAGAAAACCGATCCATTTTGCCCCATTCATTTTCTCTGTCATGGCCCTTGTTGAACTGCAAGTTACTTTCATGACATGAATAGTTTTAATTTTTTAAGAATTGTCAGATTTCATTAATTTTGTGATTACTTACTAATTTTTCCCACTGTATGAAGCAATGTGCTTATACCTTGTGGCACTTTTCTTCTTTTCTGTGAAGCAGGAATGGCTGTGTTTGAAATTGAATATGGACAATGGGTTGAAGAGCAGAATAGACAGAATGAAGAAATAAGAAATGCATTGCAAAAACATGCATCTGATATACAACTTCATCTACTTGTTGACCGTAGCTTGAACCACTACTCAAATCTTTTCAGGATGAAAATAGATGTTGCAAAGGCTGATATTTTTTATTTAATCTCTGGTGCGTGGAAAGCATCAATAGAACGCCTTTCTCTTTGGATTGGAGGATCACGCCTTTCACAGCTTCTAAATGTACATCGACAATCTATTATCTTGTTTTTCTATTCATTGATTGTGCAAAACGGGAGTTCTATATCGTATTTCTTATTTCCTCGTGTTGGAATCTATTTAAATTTTGCTATTTATTAAATTCTTGATAATTCTTTAGTAATGGTTTCCTGAAGCTTTTAATATAATAGTAGAAACTACTATCACTCATAATTGTGTGGCATATCTACATGTGGAAGTGTGAGGATTGAATTGGAGTCTCATTTTAAAATATATACATTTCAATCATACTAGTGATTCTTGGATGCATAACTATAGTTATTCTGTATTTATAATATGATGCAATCTAGTTTCTATTGAGAACAAAATATATTTTCTATCTGATATTCTGGACTCTGGTACTACAATAATATTTTTTTCTTATGGATATATTACATGGGCTGGTTGCTGACAAGACAAGTACTATTTGTCAATTTTCATGATACACATTTTGCATATTGTTAAAACATCATACCGTGGAAACCTCTATAACCTTGTACAAACTACTTGAACTTTCCTTACAGATCAGATCATAGTACCACAGCTTGAGCTTTTGACTGATGAACAAATTGTTAGCATTAATAGCCTCCGACTATCATCTCAGCAAGCTGAAGATGCTCTTTCACTAGGATTGGATAAACTCCAGCAGAGTCTAGTCAACAACATAGCATCTGATCCATTGGTTGTAGGAAACTACGAGTTTCTGATGGCTATTGCCATGGACAAAAGTGAAGCACTAGAAAGTTTTGTAAACCAGGTAATGTAACATCAGATATTGGGCCTGTCTGGAGTTTGTTCTTATTCAGTCATAATATGAGAAACCTGTTGGATTCATTGGAGTCTACAATCAATAAAAGTCTTTTGCAAATTGCAATAGAACTAGATATCTATCTATATATATTTTTAATTCTTCTCTAGTTAATAACCTCATTTGAGACACCAATTAATTCATATAAGAAAGGTCTAGTGCTAATCAATAATCATATGTTAGAATACTGAAATTATGGTGTATAAGATGGATATAATAATATATACTAAATCATCAACTATGCTTATTATCCATATTATTAGACTTGTGATGCTACTAATTTGTTATTGCTAATGTGTGTAACAATGTTAAAACCAATAACTCAAGAGGCATTCCCTTCTCCACAAGCAGATCACCTTAGGCAACAAACTCTGCTACACATGTCTCGTATTCTGACAACTGGACAAGCTGCACAAGGGTTGTTAGCTATGGGGGAATACTTTCACCGTCTTCGCACACTTAGTTCTTTATGGACTGCTCGTTCATGTGATCCTGCTTCACCTGCTCCACACTCAAATTGAGACCTCTTTGGACATCAACTGCTATGTGGTTTACACAACAGTTGCTGATTTTCTTTTGGTTCAATATGTTCATAAATATGCAAGTTAATGCTGCTTAATGTCATGCAGCAAAGTTTATAAACCTTGTACATAAACATTGTACCTTTCATATGAAACTGTGGAATTAATTCCCCTTTTTAGTGTCTCCTGACAAAAAGAAAAAGAAGAGAAATTAAATTATTTTGAGATTAGGAAAAAAGAAATTTTGTCACGATAAAAACTAACATAGTCCAAAATGAATCAAAAGTACTAAAAAAAAAAAAATTGCCCTAACCTCAAAACTAATGATTTTGAGGTCACCGAAAATAAATTATCTCATTTGAGAGAAGAAATAATAAGGGAATGGTTATATTGTCTATCTATTAAAATAATAAGAGGATAGTTATACTGTCTACCTATTTAATCTTCTTATCTTTATTACATTTTTATCACCGTTGATTATACTTAAATCAAATGTGATAAACAATGGATGCAATTAGTTGTGAAAAATAAGGGAGAGGTAAATAAAATAAAATAAATTATTATATTTGAGATCGTTGATTTAAATATAATCAATAGTGATAAAAAAAAGATAATAAGAATAGAAAAATTAAATAAGTAGGCAATATAACCCTAAATCCATATTAAATAATTAATTAAACATAAATAAAGAGAATGGACCAAAATATCTAATTCTACTTGAGAAAGGTGAAATTCATAAATATTTGTATAAATGTCTTAATTATATTTTATTTTTTTCTTATGCTCTAGATATTCTGAAGAAGGTTAACTCAATCGTTCGCTCTACTAAATTTGCCACAGCTGATAAATTAAGATCATCATCGTTTATCTTTTGTAGAATTGAAAATTTCAATACAATTGCATTTTTTCTTATGTTAGCCTTAGTGAGTTCAAGGTTTAAGTAGACAATTACTGGACAGAATAATTCTTAAATGTGTCAGGTTACTAGTGTAATTTGTCACCGTATATATTTGTGTATTTGTTCTCCACTATAACCGTAGTTTTCCATTTTCCAACAACAGAAATGTGAAAAAACTAAGGTGGTGAAATTTTTTTTAGCACAGAAATGTGATTAATAGAGATATGCAGAAAAAATGAATTAAATAGAAAATTTAAAAAAAGTTATTTGGTTGGATAAAATATTACTGAGAAAATTAAGTGAAATTTCTGAATTTATGTTTGGTTGAAGATAAAATATCAATGAGAAATCAGACTGAAATTATAAAATAACCCTAACAAGAACTAATGTTGAAGTCATCAAAGGGTAATTTTGACATCTCTTATGTTCATCTTTTTCACTTAGTTAACTATTACTCAAATACCACCCTCCAAGTAGGATTTGAGCACCATATTTTTGGTCCAATTTTGCATACAAAGTTCAATTGCAAGGCAAAGGGGTTAGCTAGACAAATTTTTAAATAACCTCTACCAAACATGGAGATACCACTTATCCACTTTCAAATACCTAGTAATATTTTTTTTTTTTTTTTGTAAATACCTAGTAATATTTCAAGTTAACATGTACCAAACACACCCTTTAAGACTTAAGTGATGAAAAAAAAAAGATAATAAAATGCTAATTAATTATGCGGCTGTGACCTATGAGTTGTTGTATGGTGTACACTGTACACCCGCCGCCAACTTTACAGTTAAAGGTCATCCAGTCACAGTGCTGTGAATGAGTGCACTTAAGACTTTACAATCCATAACGTGGGCCTGTGCCCTACCCAAATTTGTATTGGGTTCAGGTTCAAAGCTTCTGCGCACAATAAGTGCAAAAGCCTAGAGCAAATTTGAGATCCATTAAGTAAATGGAGTGAGTTTGTACATCGTACTCATTGCTAGTCCAATAATTATGCAGATGAACCCAACTTAAAAAAAAAAAAAAAAGAGATGGAGAGGCAGAAGATATTAATATGGGAAAGAAAGCAAACTAATTTGCATACATATATTTGTTGTTGATGTTTTATATATATATATATATTAAATATAAAATACAAGTGCAGGGGTACTCCACTTTTTGATCAGATTTCGGCTGAAAAATGTAAGTCTTTTTCATCAATGGGTAGTACTGTCGGCTAAGAAAATACACACACTAGAGAGGACCAGCGTACCTACAACGAAAACCATTAATACCCCCTCTCAAATACTTGAACTGTGCATTTATTTGTGTGGTGGATACTTGCACTATGCATTATATGTTAACAGTGTTTGCCCAACTTTTCCGTACTCCTCCACATCAACTTTTAAGTATAATTCTAGCCCCCAAAATTACATAACTTTAATGGGTCTAAATTACAAGAATTTTAGGTCATCATCACTGTTCCAAGGACAATTATTGAATCGCAGTTGTCCTAACCTGAAAAAAAAAAATAGTATTTCACACATGGATCAAGGATCAATTAGTACACGTTGTTCAACTTAATTAATTATCTTGATTTTTAATTATATTAAAATGTTAATAGGAAAAAATTTATCATCCTTGTAATTTTATCCGACTCAAACAATTAATTTATGAAATTTAAAAAATATTATTTTTTATATTGTAAAAAATAATTTTATTTCATATATATATATATATATATATATATATATGTGTGTGTGTGTGTAAAATCCATATGAAATCATATGAATAAAAGAGATAGAGAGAAAAAGATAATATGAGTCTCACATATTATTATGTATATATAAAAAATAAAATTATCTCTTATAATATAAAAAATATTAATTATAATATTAAAACAATATCTTATGAACGAAAGATGTGTTGTCTTCTAGTCGTTGGGGCCGTCCTTATCAAGATCAGCTGGACTGTCATCTATCAAAGTTCACAAAGTGCACCGCAGCATCTCCACAAGGCACAAGCTTCTTGTACTAGCATCACTCTCTGGCAAGCAACCATTAGTTTTGGAGATACATGGCATCACATAATGAGGAAAGAAGCTTTAAAAATCTATAATAAGAAAAAAGATAAGTACACACATAACTTTCACCCAGCTGTAAATAAGTGACTGAAGATTTGTAATTGTAGTAGGGGTAAAGAAATGGTTAAAAAAATTTTAATCATTCATTTTAATATTTACTTGATTTATGTATAGAGAAAAGGTTGTATATCTATCATTATACATTATTATAATTCGAAGGTAAATTCACATATCAAAATCACAATCATGAAAAAGGGCATTTGCAACCCCCACCCCCCACATGAAAAGCCTTCCCAAGATGCCCCATTTATAAAGCCTAGGAGCACTAGTATTTCATGCATTACCATAAATGTGTAGTTCATGGTTTTAAGCTTTCCTGCAAATCTATATATATAATTATAGAAGCCTCCCGCTTTAGGGGACGAGAAAAGGACTAAAAGGTAGCAATAGTGCGAGGGAATCCTGAAGTGGGTGAGTGTTTTGCTGCCTAGTTGAACCAAAAAGAAAGGCCTTCTAAACAAGTTAAGAAAACAAAAAAAGAAAACCCCTAATTCGATGGCCTTTCACCATCAATGCTATATTGATAGTCAAAAAGGGCAATTGGTCCGTAGAAAATGATAGTTTAACATACACTTGTTCTCACAGACTCTTCAATAACTTGAATTTGAACTTAACTTTACCCTGTATTTATAATAAATAAATAAATAAATAAAAAAATCATCAATAAAATTAAGGTGTTTAAAAAAGTTACATAGAAGAATATATGTAAGTGTTATGCAGCACTAGGGGAGTCCAAAATAAAGGAGACATCTATCTATGCATCAATAGGCTAAGCAACAAATCTATAATAAGTGGATAAAAATTCACATCTTAACCTAAAACTTTTAGGTTTATGTGTCCTTTAACTTATACGTTTCAAACTTAGTTCATTCCTTTTAGATGTGAGACTTTATCACTCGCACTTGAATTCCCAACAATATCTCTCTCAAGTTGAGTCTTACAACTATCAATTCTCTCATAACTGGAAGTTTCTTTTTGTATTCATGAGGTTACCAACCAAGGGTGGGCAAGTCTTGGTTCTACAATATAGGTTTGTCGTAGCTTACAAACCCGAACACCAATCACTATATCCAAATACTTGTCCCAACTAATTACCTGGTTAACACAGGTCAATCAACCATTGACTCTGATATCACTATTACACAACGGTCATGGGTGTCAGGAATAGAGAAGACATCGTCCACACATTAATGGGATAAGCAACAAACCTATAATAAGTGAACTTGACACCGCATCTCAACCCAAAATCTTAAATCGTTAGATTTATATATTTCATGCTTAGCTCATTTTTACTGAATATGGAACCTTATCATTCACATTTAAATTCTTAATAAAAGTTCATAAATTTTATTCAACTATCTTCATTATGTCATAATAGACCCAAAGCTAAGGCATACAGAAGGAATTTTGATCAAGCGGTCAATGTATAATAATTTGAAACCTTGTTTACTTGTTTCTTTATTAGAGATATGGTAATTAATTAAACACTAAAGATCGAGAGCCCATGCCCTTTTGGTTTTCTTGGTGCCTTTCACACATTCTCAAACATATAAGCAAAATTAGTCCCATAAACACAAAGGGCCCTTATTGATCAACTGAATGCTACTTAAGAGGTACATAATGATGTAAATTTAAGTATTTATTACGAAACCATGACAAATATATAGATGATAGTGGATAAGCACATCCACTTTACCTTGCTCTTTAATCTTCTCTAATCGTTTTGCCCCCAGTTTCCTTGGGCGTTTGGTACGCGGCATTTTTTCGGATTCTCGGAAAACTGAATTTTTTAAAATTTTTAATTTTCAGATATTATCATAAACTGAATGTAAAAATCATATTTTTGAAAATCGAGATTCCCGGACAAAAAAAAAATTTCTCTTGTACCAAACGACTCATAATAAGTATTCAAGTAGTCACGAAAGATGTTAGAAGAAGAATATCTTACTTGATTAATAAATAAAGTTGAGTT